ACTTTGTTAAGGACAATGCCAACTTACGCAGGAAGTTCTGAGCGTCTTGGTAGGAGTCACAGAGTGCAACGATGTCTGTATATTCCAAGTCAAGAAGGTGATCAATTAGACGAAGCTCCACACAAGAAGCCCTGCAGTTTTATAAAGCGCTGCTTAGGACATTGTCNCCAACTCTCACCTGTGGCTGTCAGTCTTTGAACACCGCTGTGTACGCAGCACTGCACGAATCTAATGGGGCAACTGGACGAGCAATACTGAGGTCAGGCGCAAAGTTCTAGGCAACCGCGTTCGCCTACTAGAGCAAGTAGTGGACCTTCATAGATTACGTTGGTTGGGACATGTGTTACGCATGTCACCAGATAGGTTACCACGGCTAGCGATGTTCCCCGAGGCAGGTAGTGGGTGGAATAAAGCCAAGAGTAGTCAAGATAAGACCTGGCATAAGGGTATGAAAACCCTCACCATGAGTCTGAGTCACATAGGTCCCGTTAGGCTCCCTGGCTGGGATGGTCTTAGCCGATCGTTAGAGTCACTGAGTGATACGGCTGGGTGTCGTAAACAGTGGCTTTCGTACATCTCAATTTCTCTGCATCATTAGTCGACTGAACTTCTCACTTTTCTCTTCGATCCTGCTTTCAGCCTTCCTGTTTCCCTCCTATTGTTCACCCAAATGGGCAGCCAAAAGACAGCAACCAAAAGCGTGACACGGAAATGCATCCCCAATGGTTGTTTAAACTGAAATTGCGGCTCCGATAAGTTGAGGGAGGCCACAGCAACCACACCCTAGCAAACTGCTCACTAGTTGAAATAAACCAAGTTCAGGGTAACCAAAGTTCAAAACCTCGGCGAAGTGGTGTGCGCCATACGAAAACAGCTGCTCATGAGCGGTCTAACAAAGCCTGCTGCTGATCCGACGGCTATGAAGTAAAGCTGTCTAACAGGAATGCATAGATCATTAGGATGAATGTACACCAGTCGAATAACGAATGAGCTCTTGGCGAGCCTTGGAAAACCATGCACTAATGCACTGATGTGTTGTATTCTGCATCTAGCTGTGCAAAGGCTAGATGTGCACNCCCTCAAAAAATCTGACTGTCGTCGAGGGACGTTTCCTAAAACCGATTCCCAAGAAACTGTTATCGTTCTTGATTGGAGCTTATCCTCCTGCAGTAACTAGCCGTAGTAAAGTAGAACAAGATGCATATACCATTGCTTACAAATAAGGCACCGAAGTGACCACACCCTGCAAAAATCAATGAACAGTAAGCAGTTGGATTCGAGTGGGGGTAACAAGACAAATGTTATAGAACGCAATTTTAAACTGTTCTCATTTTTGGGTTTTCTAATTGCGATTACAAACACCACTCATTAACCGATATCGATTTCAGACTTCTCTCTAAGACTGCACCGTCCTGTGTTCTGCTACTTATTAGTGCACGCCGGTTAGAGATATAGTCGAACTGGACTATTCTGCAAGGCAGGCATCCCCCTCCCGTATCTGTTATGAAAATCGGAACTATAGTCTATGACTTCCATAATATCCATCACAATCTCACCCCTGGATTTCATGTACAGTAGAATAGAATCATTTTACTGAGGGACTCAAATAGTCTAGTCCTAATCGTTCCCCTACCGGAAGATGAAATTAGACGCAAGAGGCCGTCTTTATAGTCCAAATGTTTTTTCTTAATTCGATGTATTCGTCGCTATAAGCTGTGCTGCCTTGATTTTCCAGTGCCAGAAAAAGCATCCTTGAGCAAGAGTCGCGGAATTCTAGTCACACCAATCGTATCAGGTTTACATTACTTTTCTGAAGCCAACTGTGATTGGTTTTTGAGAAATTGGTTTATTTATAACAAGTGGTGGTTCCTCTTTTTGTTGAATGCTCTCAGATGCCTGGAGTCAATCTACCTATGAACCAACTGGGATTTTACATGCTCACGTTATTGCTTTGCGCATTCTTACATGAGGCTGGGCATGCACTGGCCGCTTTGCGCGAGCGGGTTCGTCTGCATGGGTTCGGTTTATTCCTGTTTGGCATCTATCCCGGGGCCTATGTGGATTTGAACACGGCCGATTTGCAAAGCCTGAAACCGTTTGGTCAGTTGCGAATTTACTGTGCCGGGGTGNNNNATTGCATTGTTCAGTGTTGCACTTTTTTACGCCATGCCGTGGGTTCTGTCGCCTGTGTATCAAACAGGCACCGGAGTGGGTGTTACCTACCTGCGTGAGGTATGTTCTACCTGTTCACACATTCGTTTTTGATATCTTCGTGGAACCATGTTTACGGAGCTGAAAGTGCAAGGTTTTTGTCCGCGATATAGTTTCTCATCAAGGGTATCTGGTGTTTTATTCATAGCTAAACTCGTCGGTAAACCGATGAGAGTGATTGCACTTACTCTCAAGCCCACCGAAAGCCTCCCATTGCTTTTGTTTTCTCATTACTTTTACTGTTTTATACAACATATTTGTCTATCTTTTTGACATACCACTCAGAGTCCTAATGCTCACCATCACGGTACAATTGCGATTTCAATTGAACACTAGGTAGTCTACCACCAGGTAAATTGCAGGTTCTGAAACCCCATCATCCATTGAATTCGAGGGTTTTCAGCGTGTTGACTGTCATGGAAGTGTGCCCTCAAACTTGTCTGGTATTTAGGATGATCTTGGGAATTAAATCTGCTGAATATCGGAGATGAAAATCCTGAATCCCGGTCACTGAAGTGCGCCGGATTTATCCTCAGGATGCATCCTCTACACACTAGACGACGACAAAACCAGCGCGGAGTAGATATACTCAATGATCAAGCCGAAACCTCAGTTGTCGATTGGCTGCCGGTGATACTGTTCCAGGGGTCAATCAGTGTTCAGAAGGGAATCAGCAACAAAAGGTGTTCGTTCACCAAACTCATTCGGATTGGTGGAGACTCCGGTATAGTTGTGCTAACAGGTGAGTTCAACGCTCAAGTTGAACAATTGAGCTCGTCAAAAGCCTACTCAAGCAGTCATTGCATTCTACTCTGTCATCAGATAGTCAACAGAGGTCGACTTGTTCAGTTCTACGCTGACCACCGTCTGATCCTACCCAG